GGCGGCGGCGGCGGGCCGGGCCGGGGAACGGCTCCGGGGGGGAATTCTCACGGAGGGGGTCGCCTGGGATCCCATTTGCACGCTTGAAAAGGTCGCCACCTTGGCTTCCGCTCCTCAGCCTGGTGGTGGCTACTGAGTCGCCAGTGGAGGCAGAGCTGGAATGGAAGGGCTGGTGCGGAGAGAGTGACAGCGCCGGGGGGAGGGTGAGGGCTGAGCGCGCGCGCACCCGAGCCAGTGCTCTGGTCTCGGGAGAACTGGTGGAGACCTGCTGGAGGGGACGGGCGCACGCTCTCGGCACCTGGGCGCGGACCCCAGGGCTAGGAGAGAGAGAGGTGCTTTTCCAAAACCTGGAGCTCATACATCCCGCTCCCCGCCACGGTTGGTGGGGAAAAGGGCCAGAGGGTTGAGTTCATGAAGGGGCCACGGGTAGGAGAGGGTTAGGTGTTGACTCTTGCGCCTACGGAATCGGGCGTTCTGATGCCTGCCACCCGTTAAGAGGTGGGCAGCTGGCCTGATGCTGAGAGGGCCGGGTGCAGCCTGAGGGGAACCCTTAGGTGGCCGAACTGATCCAAACTCCTTTAGACTAGGTGCCAACACCGGGACTACAGGACCTCCAGAGACTATACCTCTGGGGTGACATGTGCTACGTCTCCAGGCATTTAAGTTCATGTTTTAAATGACTACTAGTGTATGGATGATCAATAAATCCAAAATTTTCAGATCTCAATTTCTGTCACTTAAGAAGACACATATGGATTGTGGTCTATGGAAAACACCCAGGGACTTCTATTTTCCTAAACTTTGGAGAGACCACTTCACCCCCTTTTTTTTTTATCCTTCTTCCTTGCTGGGGAGGCGAAATATATAAATAATGAGAACCCACATGAGTGGCTCTAAATGTTGAATAATGGGATAACTGAGGTCTTGAACTACTAAACTACTACAATGGTCCCTTTTCAGCATTTTGTGTGCTTAATTTTTTTTCTTCTTCTTTTCTCCAATAGTTCAAAATGCAATTAGTTGCCTCCACAAAGAAAGACAATGCTTTTTGGTGTCATCTTTTGTTACTGTAACTTATTATTTCTGGGCGGCACCTCAGGATAAATTGTTGCCTCAGGTGCATTGTGTACCCATGTTGTAAAACTCGGGGCTTTCAATTGTGAGTTTGTGTGTGTTCCAGTTGTCACCAGCTTCCTTCCACAAAGCTGTAAAACGCCTTTGAGGCCAAGATCTTTTTATATTAAAATGTTGAATCGAGGTGTGCACCAATAGGCCCATTCTCAATTTGGAGTACTACCTTCATCTCAAACTTACTGATAAATGTTTCTAATTTCTCCTTACAATCTAGTCATAATCAAACAAACTATTTGAATAGGAGTTAGCACCATTTGGAGTTATTGGGGTGGAGGGAGGCTGTTTTTACCAATTGTCTTCAACTTTCTACAGATAGAAAAACTGACAAGTCAAATCAGTGTGGATTAAAATATGTTTTCCCTGTTTCTCTCTCTCTCTCTCTCTCTCACACACACACACACACACACACACACACACACACACCTTTTTTCTCCCGCCTCTGCCACAGTGTATAAAGCCCTATTGAGACATGTAGGCGTGATGTGTAAACCGGATTAGCAGTATGAAAGAAAGACACACAATAAGCTAGAATTGTTTTACTTCCCTTTCATTTCTCATGCCTATATCTCTAATAAATTTGTTGCTCCAGCAGTGGGTCAAAGGGATCATGTTGCTCAGCTTCTTTTTCATGCAAGACCCAATAGCATAGATCAGCGAAATAAATGGCGTGCCTTCTGCCAAATACAAAGCTTGATATAGATATATTAGATGGGGTGATAGAGATGAGGCAAGAGAGAGATGGAAAAAGAAAGTTCAAAGTGTGGGTCTTTCCAGAATACATCTCTATCCATTAGGGTAAAGTAATGTAGCTAAGATGATATTTAGGGAAGGGAGGAAATCAATATAAGGAGCAATGCTCTGTTTTCTTTCAAGTTCATTGTAGGCTCTGAACATTTTCTCTGCACTTGGTGATATTCCTAGCAAGAGAATACCAACAGCTTTGGCATTGCATAAAGTCTAATTCCCTCTTTCAAGCTAGTGTTCGAACCTGGAGTAATAAATGTGGAGATTTCTGAGACTTTCTCAGGACATCTCCCTTGTGCATTTTGAACCCGCCCCCCCCCCCCAGCTCACTATAAACTCAAAAATATGCTAGTGCTCCCTGGTTTGTGCTGTAGACCCCTCATTTACTCCTTTGTGGAATTGGGAGCAGCTTCCCATTAAAGGAGATCAGGGGTAATTAGCAGCATTATTTTGACAAGTTGGCTAGAGCTATTCCCTTTCCTCCAGTCCTAGGGAGGGGGGTATGGGGAAGGAAACAGAAGGTTGAAGGGAGAAGGGGAGGGGAGTCATCCTTAGGGATTTTACATTCTGTGGCTTCTGAATCTTCCACTCACCCCCAACCTTTTAGACTCATTTTGACCATCACCTTTTAAGTAAATACAAAACCTGCCAATGACAAAATAATAAGGTATTCTTAGGGAGCCAAGAAAATGTGGTGGATGGTGGCATACTGGCTTGAACTGAGTCAAGACTCAACCCTTATCCATGGTACCTGCTTTGAACTGCTCAGGCTCTGGCTCATCCTGTACCCTGGGGTCTCCATCCATAAATAGAATACTCACTCCATCAGATCCTCAATTCCTCTCCCCATCCCACCCTCTCAGTAGGAATACTATGGGACTTAATGTAACGTTTGCAATTCTTTACATTTGTGGAAGAGTATTAAAGTTGAGACAAAATTATAATTTGGCCCAGAAGTCAAATTACTAGAATAAATTTACTTATTTATTCATTTGTACTCTGCAAAAAATGAGTTAAATTACATTAGATTTTAAAGACCCATTTGGTTGGATCTAAACAACCAGTGAAAAGTTAAATCTCACTGTACTACTCCACCAAGTCCAGCTCCCACAATTGCTTATCATTGGAATGTGCAAACACAAAGGTCAGATGTTTCATTTCAGTGTCATCATTTGAATAATCAGATGTCACTTTTGAGATATGTGTGTGGCGTAGACATAGATATTTGAAATATGGGAAGAAAATGGAGAAGATATGAGTGAATTTTATTTTAACAGGTTAAGGAGTCTGTTTTGAAAATGACAGACTCCAATGAAGTCTTGTATCAAGATTAGGAGACCAAAATGGTAACTGATGCATTGAGATGAACTTTACTTGGAAAGAGTAAATGGGACCCTCAAGTGTTGCCCCAAATAGGGCCAAAAGCACCAGCTGGTTTGAAAAGGCCCTGAGTTCCACTTGTTTGGTAACTCTCGCAAGGGAAGCCACACTGCAGAAAGGCCATTAAAGGATCTGTCTTCCTAGTAGACAACTTTGCTGCCTGGCTCCTCCAGCAAGCGTCATCTCAGGTCTGGGGGATCCTTGTGGTTAGCTGAAGTTAAACCCGGTATGGCGAAGTGGTCCCCTGCACAGGGCATGCATATTAAAGGCGACAATGCTTACAAATGTAAATAAGGGCAGATTGGTTAGGAACAACATTATCTCTGGGAATGTCGCACTCGCATGCATCAGCAATGAGGCAAATTGGGGGCAGCCTCAGCCCTGACCACCCAAGTCGAGCAGGCTTTTACACTGGCTCCTCTTCCCTTTCTTAAAACGTTACAGAAACAAGGCCAATTAGATCCTCAAAGTAATTCATCTCTGTGTATGAAAAAAACAGACCACAGGGGAAGAGGCGGGTGGGGGTGGGGAGATTAAGATAGCGTTTGTTAGAGCCCAGGCTGGGGATTGCGTCCTGGAACCTTCGGGTAGAAAATACAGGCCGGGTCCATTGTCTGAGATGCTGAAAAGTTAACCTATCAAACAGCGGGTGTGGGGGCTCAGGGCGCTGAAAAACCCGGAGATCAGCGTTCAAAACGTTTAGGAATTAAACCGAGGGAAACGAGCCCGAGTGGAAGAGGCTTTGCCATTGAAACGCTTCACAATGTAGCAGCAGCCAGAACGAGAGGATATGCAGCTGTGTCTAGAGTAATGAGGAACCGTGGTATGTACATAGTTTATAATTTCATTTTAGAATTCCATAATCCAAGTAGCTATACTGAAATCGCTATATAAAAAAAAAAAAAGGTTGGGAAGAAAGCCTACTATTTTGATCTAAAACGTTGTTAAGAACTTTGAAAAGACAAACATAGCAAACCTGTCTATGGCTACATGAGTGGGTCTCCTGCCATACAGAAAACCTCAAATATAAAGACTGACATGGAAAACTAGGGGTACCACCCCCAAGAGTTCAAAATATAATTTCTAGTGGCAAGCACGAAATGGTTTGACTTGAAGTGTCTGAAGAACTATTCAGTTGAACAAAGCTAGAACATTAAACCACCTTTCCTGTTTTCTGTTATCAAACATAAAAATAAGAATTTTGCTCAAAAATTAAACTTGCTATTAGTCGAGCCCAATTTTCCTGCGATATCATTTATCAATGTACGTAGTATCGTTTTCGCGGTGCTCGTCTTACTTTCTGGATTTTTAGCAGTCCTTCCCAGAGTCGCACACAAAATCACG